CCTGTGCCAGGGCCTGCCCACTCTCCCAGCCAGGAATTCCTTCCCAATATCCCATCTAACCCAGCCCTCTGGCAGTTCAAAGCCCCTGAGGATGGTGAAGGTGCCTCTGCTCTGTTTTGCTTTATTTTCTGGGTGCAGAAGCTCAGCCCAAGCCCTGCCCAGGGTGTGGGTTTGGAGCTGCTCTGACAGCATTGCTGGGCTGGGCAGGGGCAGGAACAGGAATTGGAGCAGGAGTCTGAGTGGGAGCAGGAATTGGAGCAGGAGTAGGAATTGGAGCAGGAACAGGAGCAGAAACAGGAATTGGAGCAGGAGTTTGAGCAGGAGTAGGAATTGGAGCAGGAACAGGAATTGGAACAGGAACAGCAGCAGGAATTGGAGCAGGGATTGGAGCAGGAATTGGAGCAGGAGGTGGAGCAGGAGCAAGAACAGGAGCAGGAACAGGAGCAGGAGTTGGAGCAGGAGCAGGAATTGGAGCAGGAACAGCAGCAGGAATTGGAGCAGGGATTGGAGCGGGAATTGGAGCAGGAGGTGGAGCAGGAGCAAGAACAGGAGCAGGAGTTGGAGCAGGAACAGGAACAGGAACAGGAGCAGGAGCAGGAATTGGAGCGGGAGCAGGAGTTGGAGCAGGAGCAGCAGTGCCCAGGCAGGCCCCTCCTGTCTCCATGGCACCACCTCCCATTGCACAGCTCGGTTTTGGCTCCACTCCCACCCAAGCCCACCTTGGAGAAGCTGCTGTGACCAGCCAAGGTGCTTGGAGCACCCTGGGATGGTGGGAGGTGTCCCTGCCCATGGCAGGGGGTGGGATGGGCTTTAAGGTCCCTTCCACCCAAACCATTCCAGGATTCCATGACCATCCTGAGGCTCTCTGAGCAGGCCACAGGCCAACAGGAGTTTGGGTTTGTGCAGAGGAAGGTGTGGGATGTGAGGAAGGGCTGGAACTGCTGTGGGACATCTCAAGAAAGGCATTTGCTGAACTGCTGCACCAAATTTAGCAACTTCTCAGGAAAATGTTCCAATCCTCCGTGGCTGGTTGGTGAGGCAACAGGAAGGTGTTGGTTGGTTGGTTGTTTTTTGCCTCCTGTGGCCCAGGAACATTGAGTTGCCAAACAGGGAAAGGTGCAGATGGACTGGAATGTGTTTGTCCTTCACGGAACCAGCAACAGGACAAGAGGAAATGGCCTCAGGGGAGCTTTAGTTGGGTATTAGGGAAAATTCCTTCCTGGAAAAGGTTGTCTGGCATTGGAACAGGCTGCCCAGGAGGAGTCCCTGCCCCCAGGTGACCTGACCCTGTCCCCACGGAGAGCTGGTGGCTCTGTTTTGGCAACAGGAGGTCGGGTTGGGTGAGAACGTGGGGTGGGGAGATGTGTGGGAAAGGTGAGTGGGACAGGGAGCTCTGGGAAGGTGGTGCCATGGGAGGGAAACACAGCAGGTATCATGGAATGGTTGGGGTTGGGAGGGACCTCAATGATCAGCTGGTGACTCCATGGGGAACAAATAGAGGGGAAAGAAGAGGGGAAATTTAGATGGGACACTGGGAAGGAATTCCTGACTGTGAGGGTGGGGAGCCCCTGGCACAGGTTGCCCAGAGAAGCTGTGGATGGATCCCTGGAAGTGTCCAAGGCCAGGCTGGACGGGGCTTGGAGCAGCCTGGGATGGTGGGAGGTGTCCCTGCCCATCCAGGGGGTGGCACTGGATAATATTTAATGTCCCTTCCCACCCAAACCATTCCAGGATTCTAGATGTCCACATCCATGGGCAGATCTGTGGGCACCAACACCCCCCCTGTGTATCCTGCAGTGCATCCTGCTGTTCCCTATGGAATTCCCTGTCTGTTCCACAGGTTCCTGGAGGTGGAAAGTCCCCGGCTCAGCAAGGCCTGGCGCACCCTGGCCTTCGTGTACCCCTACCTGTTCGACAGCATCCCCCTCTTCTACAGGGTGTGTATCCCACGGGATCCCCCAGCCCGGCCTGCTGCAGCCTTGGGAATATCAGCTGCCTCATCTTACTCCGAAAATATTTGGGAAAACAGGCCAAGCTTTTCTTTTCTAAAGGCAAACAAACTCTGGCAGGAAAAGGGACTCGGGTATTTTTTCCTGCCCCCACTGACAGGCAGATTCCTTGACTTCAAAGGGCCCCAGGCTGGAAAATTCCTGCCTTTGGAAGCAAAGTGGCTAAGCTGGAGCAGGGTGGGAATTTGGCTGTGGTGGGGTGTAAGGACAGGGATTTGCATGGAAAATTCCTGCCTTTGGAAGCAAAAAAAATGCCTTTTCCAGTAGCTGAACTGGAAGGGTGGGAATTTGGCTGCAGTGGGATACAAGGAGAGGGATGCGGGGCTGGGATTTTCATGGAAAGTCACTGCCTTTGGAAGCACAAAGTGCCTTTTCCAGGCTCAGCTGGAGCAGGGTGGGAATCTGGCTGAGGAGGGGTGCAGGGCCAGGGATGCAGGGCTGGGATTTGTGTGGATGCAGGTGATGGGTGTGGGATTGAGTGTGGGATTGAGTGTGGGATTGAGTGTGGGGTCCTGCAGCCCGGTGGGCAGCCCGGGGAGCTGTGGGTTCGGGAACGGCCGTGCCAGCTCTGGGAATGACTTCTCCCGCTTTTCCCCGGCTGCAGCTGTACCTGTGTGCCCTGGAGGGCTGCTCCGAGGGCTCCATCCTGCTGCACTACAAACACACGGGCTGTGCCCTCCTCACCTGCTTCATCTTCGCCACCCACCTGCCCGAGCGCCTGGCACCGGGCACCTTCGACTACATCGGTGAGTCCCCGGCAATCCCGGGAATAAAGCACCTGGAGCAGGAGGGATCCCGGAGGAGGTCACGTGTTCCCTGCTGGAAATGCGGGAGGGGGTTTTACAGACAAGGCGCAGCAGTATCTTACATGTATTTGGGATGTTTTGTGGGATATTTTTGTGGAATGTTTGGGGGGAATATTTCGCGCGGAAAATTTCGCGTGGAATGTTTTGCTTCCAAAATCTTCCACGGGGGGTTTCACGCCCACAAAACGCTCACTTCTCGTGGAAAACTCCTCACCTGGGGCACAGTGGTGCCGTGGCAGGAGCAGCCACCAAGGAGCTGGGATGGGATGGGATGGGATGGGATGGGATGGGATGGACACCTTGGGGTTTCCCCTGTTTGGCCACACCATGGACAAACAGAGCTCTGGGCACATCCCTGTGCCAGGACTGCAGCACAAACACATCCCTCATTCCCATTCCATCTGGGAAGGAAGAGCTCTGTGCAGGATGATAAAAGCCACAGGAATTAGTAGAGTAAATATTTAAAGGAGATGGAGGGAGGGCAGAGCGTGTGGAGAGTGTCTGAGTGAATCACGGAATCCTGGAATGGTCTGGGTGGGAAGGGACCTTAAAGCTCATCCCATCCCACCCCTGCCCTGGGCAGGGACACCTCCCACCAGCCCAGGTTGCTCCAAACCCCGTCCAACCTGGCCTGGAACATTCCAGAGCTGGGGCAGCCACAGCTTCTCTGGAGAAGCTGAACTCCCAAGGAGTTTCCTGAATGCTTTATCCCTTCCTTCTGTTTTGGGACATCTCTGTACTTTGGGGCCTTTGTTTTTGGGGGTTTCTTTCTCTTTTGGGTTGTCTTTGTATTTTGGGTTCTTTCTGTATTTTGGGTTTCTTGTATTTTTGGGTTTCTCTGCATTTTGTGCTCTTTGTATCTTCGTGTTTTGAGTTGTCTTTGTATTTTGGGTTCCTTTTGTATTTTGGGTTCTTTTCGTATTTTGGGTTCTTTGCATTTTTGAGTTTCTCTGTGGCTTTGGGTCTTCACATTTTGGGTTTCTCTGTATTTTGGGTTGCCCCTGCACGTTGGGGTGTCTCTGGCCTGTGGCTGCCCCTTGGCCCGTGGGCTCCCGTCACCCCATCCCGCCGTCCCTTGCAGGGCACAGCCACCAAGTGTTCCACGTGTGTGGGATCCTCGGGACGCACTTCCAGATGGAGGCCATCCTGAGGGACATGGCTGAGAGGCACAGCCAGGTCCTGCTGCCCTCCTCCCTGCAGACCCTGTGCTCCATGGGGGTCTGTGTCACCGGGAGCCTGCTCGTCATCGGGATCAGCTCCGTGGCCCTGCCCCTCATCCCGGAGCCTCCGCACAGGGACAAATCCCACTAGGATTGGGGACTGGTGGCATTCCTGCTGCTCCACCAGCACCCAGCAGAGTGTTGGTGTGGACGAGGAGTTTGTTTGCTCCCAGTATTTATTGATGATCTTCTCAAGGGCTCGAGGAGCTGCACTGGTTTATCCACTGAGCTTTAACGCTGCAAACGGGTTCGGAGACGCTTTAAATCCAGTTGTTATCCCAGGAAAGATGTAAAATATCCTGAATTTTATCCGGAAAAAGGGACAGAAGTGCTGCCACTTCCCAAAGCAATGGGGATTCACCAGGTGTGCCTTAGGGAGGGGTCACAGGGAACGTGGTGACACCGAGGGCACCGGTTTGGAGCGATGGCCACGACCCCTGGGGAGGCACGAGGGCTCCCTGACCCCTGTTCTCACCTTCCAGGGGGCATCATTTTGGAATCTGAAGCCTTAAATGTCCACCTTTCACAGCCTTAAACCCAACCCCAGTGCCTGACAGATGTGGGATTGAGGGACTGGTTTAAAATCTTGTTTTGATCAACACCTGGAAAAAGTGATCCAGGAAGAGCTTCCATGGGGTGTTCCTCCAGAATAGCTGGTTTGGGGTCTAATTCTGGCACAAAGGGAAGTAATTCCTGTGGGAAAGCTGAGCTCTCATGTTGGCAGAGGAAGTCCATCCTTTCCTGGTGTTTCTGGAGGCTGGATGGGCCCTTGGATGGAGGGGCTGACACAGGAGAGCCAAACCCCCGAACCCCTCTGGGTTTTGGGGTCACTCACGTGGGACAATGCTTGGAATGTTCTGTTGGATGAGGGCTTGGGATGGGGGTGTCCAGGAGGATGAACCACCAGCAGAGCAGGGAGTGGGATCTGGGCAGTGTGGAGTTGGGAGAAAGGCAGGATTTGGGATTAGATACCCGAGGGATCAAACCCTGGGATTTTAAAGCTTTCCCAGAGTTATCCCTCTGCTCCTGCTGTTGCTCCTTGCTTCCCTTTCCTGCTGCTCCTGGATTTTCCAGGCTCAGAGCCTGGAGGTCTCAGCCTGATCCAGGAGAGGGAGAGCTCAGCTGGTGGCTCCAGGAATCCAGGGAAAATCCCATTGGATTTTCCTACAGGAACGAGCGACACTTCTAGGGAATATTATCAATCATACGGGTGTTTAATTAATGTTTTAATTGCCTCTGCCAAGGTAGAACTGATGCACTTTGGAGTGACAACCCAACAGCTCATTAAATGTGGGATCATGTGGTTAAACATGGAATAACTAAATCCTTTGTTTTGAAAGCTGACCAAGATTTGTGGGAATATTTATAAGCACTGGAATGTAATTGTTTATTCAGAAGTTTTATTGCATTGCAAGAGAAAACTAATATAAATCACTGATCATAATCTGGTTTTTACCGTTTGATAAGAATATGGCTGGGGGAATTAATCACTTTGGAGATAATGGCTGATAATTGCAGAGTTTATTTACCGTGGTGGGAGTGGGGAGGAATCCAGCTCTGCCTGCAGGACACGACTGAAGAGCCTGGAAAACCCACGGGAATCATTGCACGGCTTTTTCGGGTCATTTAACTTTTGAACTGAGGGGTTCTGCTCCTCTTCAGCTGGAAGGAAAGTTGTAGGAAAACTGCATTAAAAATCTAACCCTGGGTTATGGAATGCCATGATCCCGCTGGATCCTGTGTCTGTGCACGGGGAGGGAGTGATGTTTGATCCTGAAGCAGCACAGAGCAGCCAAATTTCCTCCTCAGCTGGACAGAGGCCTCGGAAAATCGATTTAATGTGTGAAATTCTCCTCACAGAAGAATTAAAAACTCTGTAGCAAATTGTTATGAGTCAATAAACGAGGATATTTATTTGTTGGAGCGTGTTTCGTTGTGTGTGTGTTCCCGACCCACAGCAAATCCCAGCAAGGATCTGAACTGCAGGACCAAATCCAGGGAATATCCCTCAGCTGCTCCTCAGCCACGTGGGTTTGGACAGGCTGGGAGAGCTGGGAATGTTCACCTGGAGAAGAGAAGGACCCAGGGAGAGCTGAGAGCTCCTTCTGGTGCCTAAAGGGGCTCCAGGGGAGCTGGAGAGGGACCTGGGACAAGGGGTGGAGGGACAGAAAAAGGGGTAAATGCAGTTCCAGGTGCTGTTATCCACGTGTTCCCAGGAGTTGGGAATTCCAGTTGGTTTTTAGGGTGTTTTTAGGCCCTGTCCTACAAGTTTTAGGCTGTAGGGCAGGGCCAGTTTCGGCTGGTGAAGGTGGGACTGCACCCCTGGGATGGGGGCTCTGATTCTGCTCCTGGGGAAATCAGGGCAATTTTGTCCTTTTTAAAATATCCTCGATTTGTATTATAAAAACATGACAAAATTTGCCTGTTTCCTTGTGTTTTAAACCAGCTTAAGAAGGGAAGGTTGGCCCTGGACACTGAGAATGGTCACAGAAGGCAGAGGGTTGGAATTTCTTTGGGCTTTTTCGCTCATGAGGATAAACTCACTTGTTATATTTAATTTGCACTAAAGCTGTGAGTCTGTGGTTTATAAACAATCGAGTTCAACCCCCTGGAAGCCTTTGCTGAGGGTTTAACCCCAAGTTACTTCATCCTCCACCCCAATTTCCACAGTTCCCCGTCAGGAAGTTTGGGCTTTCATAAGCTTGTTCCACCGTGTTTTTTACACATCACAACAGCACATTGGAACCTTCATTTACCCCCGTGGATCATTTCAGGTGGGGAATTAACTGAGTGACTGATTTAATTTGGAAATTAATTGATTGACTGATTTAATTCAGGAATTAACTGATATACTGATTTAATTCAGGAATGAACCGATTTACTGATTTAATTCAGGAATGAACCGATTTACTGATTTAATTCGGGAATGAACTGATTGACTGATTTAATTTGGGAATTCACTCATTGGTTTCACTCAGGAATTCACTGATTGACTGATTCACCTCCAGGCGTGGCCACAGGGGAGCCCTGGCACTACGAACTGACTGGATGACACCCCTTTTCCTGAGAACTAAGGAGATAAAAAAGGAGACAAATAAATCCAAGGCCGGACACAGCCCCGCGATCCGGCGGGGCCGGGACTCGAACCCGCGGCC